AAACGCCGTCTCCGGATCCTGGTGTCCCCAAGTTCACAGCGGCAGCGCCCTTTTTAGGGGTGTTCTTCGCAACATCGACGTGTCGCGTTGCGGCGTTGGGAACGATTTGTTGCCCAATGACTTCGCGCGCTCTCATTAAGGTGACATGCTTGGTTTATTTTAGTCTTTTTCATGTTTCTGCCGTAGGTTCTGTCGGCCTTCGTTCGGTGCCATGGCATCTTTTCGTTTTTCTTCCCTTACGGGCTGTTTGGTTTTTCGCTTTTTCGCGTTCGCGGTCTGTCGCTGTCTTCATATCCCGATTATTAGTACCCGCGCGCTGCCGTAGCGATTGTTTGGCATCTTTTGGTCGGCTGTGGCCTTTTCATCGTTCCGGCGACGTCCCTTTTTCATATTTTCGGCCAAGTCTCTTTCTATTTCGTCGTCCCGACGATGTTCCTTTTTTTTTTTTGTCGTCCAGACGACGTGTTTTTTTTTCTCGTTGATTGACGATACATATTTCTGTTTCTTTTTTCCTTGCGTTGTCTGTTCTTCTCGTTCTTCTCGCGTTCAGATTTCTGGTCCTGTTTGGCCTTTGTGCAGCGCGTAATTTTTCCCTATGTTGCCTTCTTTTCTTTTAGAGGTCAAACGATGATCTTACGACTCATCGAGTGAGAGGTGTGGGAGGGTGAATTGTGTTGTTTTGTAGCTCCGCATCCTCGCTACTTTTGTTTTTGGGATTCGATAATTGTCTGTCAAGCCCCGAGGTTTATAGTACCTGCGAATGAGAACCTCCAGGGTGGGCTAGTGTTATAGGATTAGAGTGGAGACGGAACAGAATAGAGAATGGTTCCTGAGAACCGTTCTCGGGGAAACACGACTCCCTGGTCTGGGAAGTTGTAACTCCCCGCGGTAGGATAAACAAGGGGGCAGATTCTACTGTCCACTCTTGATGCAGCTCGTTCGGAGCCCCTTTGTCTCAGTTCCTATCCAACCGCGAGTCATCAGCTACTGCTGCTGCTCTGCAAGAGTTATAAACAAGTGAGTTATAACTGTTGGTATGTCCGTACATGGGAGGAGAAGACACGCTTTAACTCTCTCTGATTAGGCACCCGCGGGAGCGAGGAAAGGAAGGGAAGAAGTGGCCCTCCCGAATCCGGGGAAGGGGGCCCACACATAGTAGCCTTTTTCAGGCATACGCATGCTTCTGTCTACGTACCCCCCCGTGCTGCTATAAGATCTACCATGCTCTTATCCAGACACACGAACACCCTCCCCGGTTCGTCAAGCTATTGACAAACCATCAGTGGGGCATGGATACTCCAGATCTACTTAAGTTACTCATACAACAACGGGTGCAAGGGAAAAACTCGGCCATCCGGATAAAAAAACCCGCGCCTANCACATAGTAGCCTTTTTCAGGCATACGCATGCTTCTGTCTACGTACCCCCCCGTGCTGCTATAAGATCTACCATGCTCTTATCCAGACACACGAACACCCTCCCCGGTTCGTCAAGCTATTGACAAACCATCAGTGGGGCATGGATACTCCAGATCTACTTAAGTTACTCATACAACAACGGGTGCAAGGGAAAAACTCGGCCATCCGGATAAAAAAACCCGCGCCTACAAACTCAAAACATAAAAGAAACCGTCGCTATCACAAAGGATTCCAACGGCCGCACTATCAGGGCAGGACCGAGGCAGGACAGATTGGACAGGCCACGCTGATTACACTCCCGAAGCAATAGGTCAAAAACCCTAAGCTCCCGCCGCGGGTGACGCCCCTGCCCAACGCTTCCTGCGTGACATACCATGGTCCGAGACGCGCCCAGTGCTAGAACAAAACAAAACAAACGCCACGAAAACGAGCCCAGAACCCTACATCAGCAGGTTCATCAGAGCCTTCCGGTGGTACTCCAACTTGCCCCTACCAAGGACCTTGGTCAGCATATCGGCGTGCTGCTCTTCTGTCGAGACATAATCTGCGGTGATCTTGCCCGCCTTGAAGAGCTCGCGGATGAAGTGGAACCGCACGTCGATATGCTTGCTCCTCGTCGTACCGCTCCCGCACCAGCGAGTGCGAAACGTAGTCCACGATGATCTCCGCCAGTAGCGCTTGCTCGGCGTCTGGCTCGGC